TTACTTTAAAAAAATGATAAATTATGTGAGTTTAGTAGTTTGCAGTAATTAAACTACTACACTCTACCATATTTTCATATTTCTTAACCAATTTTCATAAAAAGAGATAAAGCATCCCGTTCACATCCTTAAAAGTGAATCCCGAATCCTATGGTCTTTTTAATATAACAGACTCATGCGTTGCATTCTCCCTTAGTGCAATACTTACTATTTGGTGTTAGTGGAGGATCCTGATGGGATTGCACCTGATCTTTCCAAGCAAGAGATGATTGAATACTTTCCAATCCACGTCGGAGGGATTCCCTACGCATTCGATAATTGCTTCAATTTTTAGAGGGACTGCATACATTGCAGGAATATGAGTTATGTGAATGAATACAATTGTTCGTGCAAGTATATTGATTTACGAGTAAGTTGGATACAGATTTGTTCTTTTTCAAAACAATAATTTTAAAATATATTGACGTGCATAAGAATCATGTGTTTTATGGGCGATTCAAACTCTCTCTCATAGTAATTCTTTTATTGAGCTGAATGCTCCAGGTTATTAACGTCGTCAACCCCTTACACCGGGGATGTTTATCTATGAGAGTTTCATTCATTCAAATTCTAAGAGAAAATATCATACGTGTAATATTTCAACAATAAAATTCAATTTATGGCCTTCCATTGCTATTATTATTATTATTATTATTATTATTCGTCTTTGCTATTATTATTATTCGTCTTTCTGCAGGATTGTGTTCCTCATCACTTGGTAGAAAAATCGATAATGCTATTGGTCATGTAATTAGGGGTGGGATTAGTTCCAATTAATTTTCCTCCGGTAAAACTCAATGCAATATCTGATAAATGCCATGTGTCCTCCAATTTTTTGGTGGCTTGGATGCCTTCTTGTTGCTCATGGTTATTAAAAAGTTAAGAAAATACTTGACCCAAAAAGTACAGTAACGACCGTTACAACCTTTGGCTGCCATCATCCGTCAAACCCAATTTCTGTAAAAATAAAATAAAATAAAGGATCATTTTATTTCTCAACTGGTCATCAAGTTTACGATTTTTCTACAAAATTAAGTAAGCTAATCTTTTACAATTTCAATATTGATTCTAGATTTTATGTGACTAACTTATTTGAGCAACTAATCGTAATTTAAGTGGTTTAAAATAAAAATTATGTTAATAACCTTTTAAAAAAATCATAAGTGAAATGACTATTTGAGAAATTAACCTCTGAATTGAAATAAGACAATCTTAGAGGCAGTTGACAACATGCACAATACCGAACAAACGACTTTAATTTTATTTCACATGCAACCTCAAAATTCGTTTTAATCCCATGTTCTTTAGTTTATAAAGGTAAGGAAATAATAAGATTCTTTTTTTTAATTACATTTAATAGGTGGTCATGTATGTTCTTCTTTGAAACAATGTTAAGCAACCACGGTTGTTGTTTTAGGATCTTAAACGTACTACATCAAGCTTTCTCGAATAAAAATATATCTAAATTTTTTTAGAAAAGAAACAAGGTGAAAAAGATGACTTCAATTCCAGATAAAAGATGACATTGTGTTTCAATTTCTCTTGGGACTAAAATCTTAGTTTACGGTATATTTGCTAATTAAATGAAAAGGAATGTAAGGCTTCAATTCGGGAAGCCCAAAAAAAATTATTCGGATCCCAAATTTCTTTGAAATGTTTAATAGTAATTACTTGAGGACTCATTATCTATCGACACACAAAACATGATTTACAATAAGTAGATGGAGCTGGCAACAACACAAAACTAACATGAGCTAATTGCCAGAAAAAACAATAACGATCAATAAACATAATAACCAGAAATTTATCACATAAAAACGTAAAAGCTAATTTCACCTAGTATTAATTACCATCATATTTGAATTTTACGTACTATATTAAAATGTCATAAGTTGAAGATCAAGCTTAGACCATTTGTATTTGAACTTTACGTACTATATTAACTTTACGTACTATATTAATCCACCATACAAGTAAAGGAGAAAATAAATTATTTAAACTCTCAAAACTACTAATTACACGGCATGGCAATTTTTTTTTCTCGGGAAAATAAAGTTTGCATTAATCAAACCTAATAGTCAACGATACAAAACAAGATTGAAGCCTCATTTACAACCCAAATAGGGAATTTGTCAAAGAAAATTTAGCTAACTTATGGCTACAAAGACTATCATTCCAATACTCGCTTTGCCAGTCTTTTGATTCAAACATGCATTACATAAAATAATACATTTTTTTGAGAAAAAGTTAGTAAAGGTGCATTAGTAGAAACATCTCGCATAGTGTTAACATGTTCCTTCGCAACTGTAAATTCATTAAAATCAAATAAGGCTACCGAATATTTGTGCTTTCAAGAACGTACTTTAAAACCTCTTACCACAAGCCTAAAAATCTCATTAGCCTTTATAATAATGAGAAAAATCAACTTATATATAGAATCACCATTTCAAAAACAATAGCAATATCTCCTCACTTAGAATAATTCAATTATACTTGAAAAAAATTTCTTAAGATCTCAATACGAGTAACAATCATAGCCAATCCTTCATCAGTGAAATATGTAAATGTTTCACACTCGTTCTTGTAAATTTTATAAAGAACAACTGACTACGTACTGATTATAACTTGTTATGTGAAGCTATAAAATGTGGAATCTTCGATAGGATATAGAAAATGAGTTTTTTAATCTTCACATAAGTTACTTAGAACAAATAAAAAATTACATGATAGTGTTGGGTTATTATTGAGTTTGGAGAAACTACCAGCCATTTATTATTTCCTAATTTGGATTTAAGTCGTTAATAAGATGTCAGTCTTTTCCATTTTCTTTTTTATTTGAATTTAATTAAGGCTCGTGTCTTCTATTAAATATTTATCTAAACCAATGCTAATTTGGAAAAGGCGCAACTATACCCCAAATAGAACAAACGAATGAAATATATACTCAATTTATTACTCAGCTTTAAACTCAATAATTAAATTTTCAGAATTAATAATAGGGTGGGTTAAAAGTAGGGGTATTCGTTGGTTAGTACGGTATGATATTTAGATATTTCGGTTCGGTATTTTTGATATTCGGTTTCTTAAAATGCTATACCAATACCGTACCTAATTAAATTCGGTATGATTCGATTTTTCTCCTTTCGATTTCAGTTTATTCGGTTCGGTAATTTCGGTTTATTCGGTTTGAATGCTAACTAGTACGTAAAGTCATAGATTGTAATATTTTTAATTAAAATACTCAAAAGTACAAAACTAAAAAAGTTTGTTGACAAAAGTTTTGTCCAAAACCAGCAAATATAAACCAAAAGATAAAAAACTGTACATAAAAGAATAAATTTGATCATTAGAAATATCTTGTTATTTGCTTAGAGTTAATTGATAAACTTAGAGAATAAAAGAAAATAAAATTTTAGATATTTTATATTTATATTATAATTAATATATATTATGCAATATAATATATATTTCGGTACGGTATCGGTATTTCAATATTTCATTTCAAAATATCAAATACCATACCTAATACCATTTTAAAATAAAATTAAATCAAATACCATACCGAATACAAAAATATTGAATACCAAATACTAAATTTTTGATTTCGGTACGGTAATTCGGTATATACCAAATTATGCACAAAGCTAGTTAAAAGGTCATATAGAGGGACTTCGGTTCGGGTCGGGTCATCGCTATTTGCTGGAGAGAGAAAGAGAAACAGTCCCAAAATCAATTGGGAAAGGGATTGGAGAATAGGCAAAAGGAAACTAGTTTGACACAATTATAAAAGGCAAAAAGGACCATTAGCAGAGGAGGAGAAAGAAGAAGAAGAGGGAAGAAACTTTTTTACGAGCATAGGAAAATCTTCTTTTCATGCTTCGATTAAAGCAATGACAGCAGCGAACCAGAAGAGCCTAAAGCTTCTTAGTAAAGGATCGGAGAAAAACCCTAGTTTGACACCAGAGGAGGAGGAGAAGATGCAAAACGAAACTAGTTTGATACTGTTATCAGAGGAGGAGGAGGAGGAGAAGAGGCGAGAAAAACTTCATTTTGCAGTCGTAAATCTAGCACGGGAAGTAATGAGACAGAGGGAAAGAGAGGAGAAGAGGCTAGAAGAAACTAGATTGACACCGTTATTAGAAAAGGAGAAGGAAGCAGAGATTCGAAAACAACTTTGTTTGGCAGTGTTAATTCTAGCACTAGACGCAACGAGGGAGAGAGAAAGAGAATGATCAGAGCAGAGGCAAAGAGAAATTTGTCGTTCGACCTCATTATCGGATTTGGAAGAGCAGAGGCAAAAAGCACCTTTCGATGTAGGATCAGAGGAGGAAGCGAAACAGAGGAAAAAAGAGGCACACTTAGAGAAGATGCTAAAATATTTCTTCGGAAACGCAGAGGAGACTATGAGGAATAGAGAGAGTCGTCTTGCACCCTTTAGAGAGGCGCATAAGAGGCAACTAGAATTATATGAAGCAGGACGTCGGAAGCCGGAACAACTACTTCTTTTGGAAAAGATGGGGTGGGAAAGAGAATTCTACTCCTTCGAGGAGACGAGGCTAAAATCACTTTTAGGATCAAAAGAGTACTATTGGGTGACACCATTATCAAAAGAGGAGGAGGAGGAGGAGGAGAAGAGGGAAAAAGAGTTGGCAGCAAAGAGGCTGAGTCATTCGAGAAGAAAATAAGAGAATATTGCTTGAGACCGTTAACTGAGGAGGAGGAGCGACTAAAACAGTCATTCTTGGACGAGATACAAAATCCACGTTCCGATCATTCAGCTTCTAATCCATATCGTGGACCAGGATGGATCTTGGCGATATGCACGGAGCCGGAGCTAATTGAAAATATTCAGGCACAAAGGCTGAGAAACTCTCCATCCTTGGCACCATTACCTCAGGACAATAACTGGCAAACAGTTCGTCCCACCCCGGAACTCTGGCAACAGTATTTCGAAGAAAAACAACTTGCGAGATACAGTACTATGAGTACTAGTGTGATATCTATGGAGGAGAAGGGAGAAAAACTTGCAGCACAAGAAAGATGCCTCACGGGGTTGTATCTAACCCCCTATTGCAAGTGTGATGATGCGTGGCGCTCGCAATGCAGTGGATTCCAAACCGCTTTGCAGGAGGAGCATCCCCCGGAATTTGCCCCAATTTGGCTCGCGTACAATCGTCAGACTCGTCAATCCCATGTAAAGTTTTCTTTTCTTCATATTGCTAAATAATAATTTCATGTTGTTAGGTCAGATTTCTTAAAGCAAACCCATTGTAACATGTTCTGCTAATTCTAATGTTCTAGATAATCTATAGTGCACTGGATAGCACCATCAAATATATGAGGGAAATTTTCTCTGTTAGAACCCCCATACTTGTTTGTAATTGTAGCACACCCAGAGATAACAATTCAAATTCCATAGTCGATCACTTGATGTCCAAAAAGACGTGTGCTAAAATAAGCTAGTCGATCATTTGAAGGACTTTCATATGCTACCCTTTTACCTACACCTGTTGATCTGCTGGAAGTGATGTTTGTAACCTGTTCCGCTAATTCTAGTGTTCTGGATAATCTTCGAAAAAAATTGTTACAACCTCTACAGTGCACTGGATAGCACCATCAAATATACAAGGGAAATCCTCTCTCGTAGCACCCCTATACTTGCTTGTAATTGTAGCACCCAGAGATAACAATTCAAGTTCCATAGTCGATCACTTGATGTCCAAAAAGACGTGTGCTAAAATAAGCTAGTCGATCATTTGAAGGACTGTCATATGCTCCTCTTTTACCTACACTTGTTGATCTGCTGGAAGTGATGTTTGTAACCTGTTCCGCTAATTCTAATGTTCTAGATAATCTTCAAAAAAAAATTTGTTACAACCTCTACAATGCACTGGATAGCACCATCAAATATACAAGGGAAATTTTCTCTTGTAGCACCCCAATACTTGTTTGTAATTGTAGCATCCAGAGATAACAATTCAAATTCCATAGTATGCTTTAAGTTTCTTTTTCCAACTCCTTTATTTGGTGCCCTATCTTAACCTTTGAAGTGTAAAGCTCCTCATTGAAAGTGCTCTTTACTCCAAACAATGTTTCATTGGCTTCAAGATTCCAACCTTTGTTCCAGTAGCCATCGATTATATTCTCCTGTTCAGGACATTTGAGAGCATCATCTTCAGACACTCTACGTTCGAACTGCCTCCCTACCATAACATGCCAGAATTATGATATGCATGAGTTTGTCAAAAGTTCCTGCAGCTTTTTCCATTGCCATTCAGCTTCAAAGACAACTAATGTTGCAGGCACACCTTCTGCTTTAACGTGCACAAGCTCTTTACCCTGTATTTGTACTTTCACTTGATGTCCAAAAAGACGTATACTAAAATAAGCTAGTCGATCACTTGAAGGACTTTCATTTGCTCCCGTTTTACCTACACCTGTTGATCTGGTGGAAATGATTTTTGTAGACTGCATTCTACTCTTCAGATCCATTTGCAGCAAATTTCACAGCATGAATTCCCCGGGCCTTCACAAATGGCTAAAGAATTATCATCAAATGAATTTCCAGTTACACCTTCAAACATAATCAGTAAATAATCCACATCCAGTGACCTCATTATTTCATATGCTTCATCCTCATAAGATTCAATTTCACAAGCATCACAAGTTTTTCGAAATATATCCTTCCATTCTTTAGCTAGAAACTTAAATGGCAAAGCACCAAGCACTAGTGTGAGCATATATACTATGAAGCAGGACGTCGGAAGCCGGAAAAATAACTTCTTTTGGAAAAGATGGAGTAGGAAAGAGAATTCTACTCCTTTGAGGAGATGAGGCTAAAATCACTTTTAGGATCAAAAGAGTACTATTGGGTGATACCGTTATCAAAAGAGGAGGAGGAGAAGAGGGAAAAAGAGTTGGCAGCAAAGAGGCAGAGGCAAACAGAAATTATTGCTGCACAGCTAGAAGAGGAGGGGAAGAGAGGAAGTGAGTCATTCGAGACGAAGATAAGAGAATATTGCTTGAGACCGTTAACAGAGGAGGAGGAGCGACTAAAACAGTTATACTTGGACGAGATACAAATTTTTTAAATAAAAATTCTCTCTTTTCCTTTTAAAAGATGAATGTGACAAGAAAAATAGATCGCCTTTTACAAGCTAAATTTTCCAGAATTATGATATGCATGAGTTTGTGAAAAGTTCCTGCGGCTTTTCCCATTGCCATTCAGCTTCAAAGACAACTAATGTTAGCACGCACACCTACTGCTTTAACTTGCACAAGCTCTTTACCCTGTAGTTGTACTTCCACTTGATGTCCAAAAAGACGTGGACGTTCAAAAAGACGTGCACAAGCTCTTCGGGATTGCCCAGTTGGTTTGGAGGGTGGTCATCCATACGGATGACCTGGGATCGAATCCCCCTCAATGTCTTCTGGGTTGAGCCTGTCGCACATGGCTTACCTAGTGCGGCTTACTTCCCCTGTGTGGTTTGCAGGCTATTACATAGGGGGGAGGTTTACCCAGTGCGTACCAAGTGTAGCGGCTGCGGGTTTCCCTCCTTAACAAAAAAAATAAAAAAAATAAGCTAGTCGATCACTTGAAGGACTTCCATATTCTCCCCTTTTACCTACACCTTTGATCAGCTGGAAGTGATTTTTGTAGACTGCATTCTACTCTTCAGATCCATTTGCAGCAAATTTCATAGCACGAATTCCCCGGGCCTTCACATACTCCAGTGTTTTGTCAACCAATGAATGCTCACAAATGGCTAAGAATTATCATCAAATGAATTCCCAGTTACACCTCCAAACATAATCAGTAAATAATCCACATCCAGTGACCTGATTATTTCATATGCTTCATCCTCATAAGATTCAATTTCACAACCATCACAAGTTTTCCGAAGTATATCCTTCCATTCCTTAGCTAGAAACTTAAATGGCAAAGCACCAAGCACTAGTGCAGATATAATGGTATGGAAACCTTCACCTTCCAAAGCTAAGGTAAGCAGGTACAAAGCTCACCAAGGATGCTACAGCAGCTCCCCTTCTATGAGCTTTAAGATGTCTCAAATTCTCATGGAGTGTATCAAGCTGTCTCTATTTAATTTTATCTGTTAATGGGTCAAGGTCCAATAAAGTGCACTCAGTAAAACAGGGAACAACAGAACACATTATTCCTCCACCATTTCCGCAATATAGCTGTACTCTCTCTGTTGCAGGAATCCCACCAGCAAAATTAAGAGTCAAAATAGCTTCCCCAACGGCTAAAATTAAGCCAGGACATATGCACAAATTAGAAGACAATGTGCAAGGCCATAATTTTCCAACAATGATCTTAAGACATTGAGTCTATCTGGGAATTCTTTTGCCATTAAATATGTGCTGTGTTGGCCCCCCTTTCTGCTTTAGACTAATTGACAAGTAGTTTAGCTTCTCGTGCTTTAATTTATTTATTATAGATTCGCCCTATGATTTGGATAGTTTTCATCACTCACTCTAGGTGTTGGCTTGTTTGGACAGTATTTTGACATTGATGACCATCCCGGTTCGAGTTTTGGTGCTTCAGTAGGACCATTAGCACCAAATCAGGATTTCAATGGCAATGCTGAGTTACTGATGGAACTGGCTAACCGTGCTATCCAGGAATATAATGAGAAAGAGTGCAATGTATGCACCTTAATCTGCCTTCTATCATTAGTCCCCGACTATCCTTCCTTCATTTTCAACTAACTGATTGTGACTCTTCTTGTAGGTTTTCAAGTACAAGGTTTTGAAGATTGAGAAAGTGACTTTTTCTGTGACGGCATACTATTTATATTGGATGACTGTGAAAGTCTTAAATCTCACTCTTGGTACTCCTGTCGAAACTTTTCAAATCCATGCTGGTAAAAGCACCCTCAATGATTTCGATAAAGTTATCTATTGTTGCCGGCCTAAAGAAGAGGTAATTAAACACCTAATGAGGTTTACAATTTGCCTCTTCCTTTATTCTTTTTTGTGTTTATAAGGTGAAATTGATATTTTTTAAATGAATTTTTTATTTTTATTTTTTATTTTTTATTTTTTTTTATTTTTATTTTTTTGCTTTTCGAAGTTTGCTTATTTGTGGGTTTTGGTATCTTGAGATGATTGACCTGTGGATAGGCTTTCTATTGGGATGAATATGTGCAAACACGCTAATGATATGCTGGATTTTGGGAGAAGCCCAAACAAAATATGCGTGTGAAACTATTTTCTGACGTTAAGCTTGAATCTGGGAGGACGTCTCCGCCTAGGAAAATATTTTTAACCTGCAAGGCTATAAATGATGGAAAATAACTTTCTGAAAGTCATTTTTCTTTACAAATCTTAAAATCTTTTTTCATATTTCTTGTACTAAAAACACTGCATGTGATTTGATAATAGGAATACAGAGATGCTTAAGTATGATAAACCAAAAGATCTTTGGATTCTCGTTTTCCCCTTCCGAACTACCTTAAGTGTAAATCCCAAATTTGCATTGAAGTAAAAATTATATCGTTAATGCTTGCATAAAATAGAAAGTTGAAGTTTGGATTAGGATTTTGATAACTTATGGAGTAGCAGGGATTGGAAATGGTAATCATAGGCATTTCTTTCTGTGGACATTGCACTTGTTGATAACTAACTTTACTTTGGTTTGTTTCTATGAACTAATTTACAGGCCATTGTTGGTTTGCCGAGCTGTGAGTTTTGTTTTGGCAAGTTGCCGGAGAGGTAGTTATCTAAAGTTATCGTGCTGAAAAATGTAAAGCTTCTTTTACACTGTCATTTTACATAAATTAAACTTACTAGACAAATGTTAACACATTGATATGTTTATGTCTTCATATATATANTAGTCTTCGTAATTTAATGTGATGGTAGCAAGTAAAGGGAAAAAAATATAGCAACATGAGATGACATCGGTTGTTGACAAAATAAATCATAGAAACAAAACAATTGTTAGTTCTTGGTTTGTTTGAAAATTAAGTTTATTATTGGTATTACATTGAAAGGAGTCATGTTAAAGAGTATTTACTTGTTAGTCTACTTTTTTATTATTCTCGGACTCGTGTATCACTAAAATGCGTATTTTGAAGTTGATTTTGTAGCTTCTCCATGGTGTTTATTCTTGAGTCACCAAAATACACCTTAGAAATAATCCTTCACGTATGCTAAGCCGCTACCATTAATTTGGCTAATTTGAAAATTTTAAACAATGTATTATAACATACGCTTATCATTTGGTCATCATTTTTTCTAAAATTGTTTTGCTTATACAGTTGGAAATTTCTTCTAATTTGTTAATGGTATGTAATTTAATATGATTTAGTTTGAAGGTTCTTTTAATCTATTTGAAACAATCTATACTATATTAATATTAGAGCGTACGTTTAAGATTGACAAACTCATATCATGTTAGTAATGTTTTAACATATTGGATTGGTATTTTATGTATTCCAAGATCGAATTCCTATCAGGAACACACGAAACAAAAATATGAATTGGGTACGGTAATGAATGGTGGTATCGGTCGGGGCAAGCACAACACTCTTCCCGCAACCCTTATTGCAGCTGATAAACTCAAAAGTAAGTGGGACTACCCCTACCCTAAGATAAGACGATTCCCGCCCTCAGGAATAGAGCTAAGTTAACTTTCCCCAAATGTGGCTCAATACGCAAAAGTAAAGTTAATGTATATATTACATTTGATCTAAGTCACTGTTGAGAGTTTGAATTTTCAAACCATTCAATGTAATACCCAAATCTTGAAATTATTATTCTGCTACTTAGCTAGTATTTTTTGCAAAATATATTTGCATTTTATCGATAAAAGATTCTGTATCCCTGAGTTCATGAAAAGAAGAAATAATGCATTAATACGCAAAAAGGATTACCGAGTAGTGATTTGCATTCTCATAACATATTGCGAAAACAAAAGTAGCACCAAAATAACGGGTTAATTTCACTGATGGTCATTGAACTATCTTTCAATTTTACTAAAGTCATATAACTATTTTTTGTCACTTAAAAGTAACTAAACTTTATCATTGTCACTTAAAAGTCATTTGCGTAAAACCCCTACCATAAATATGACATGACATTAAAATTTATGATAAAAATCCAAAACTAAATGCCACATAAGCTAATATAGGTCATACCCATTTTAGATCCATTTATCTTTTTATGTGATTTGATCCATAATCCAAATGAGTTTCGATAAAAAAAAAATTAATTCCACATTAGTTTAAAATGATTATCCTATACTACAAAGTTTTGCCTTTTCTGTCACAGCACATTCATAATTATTCTATACTAAAATAATCGATGCTAGAAAATTCTTATTTTGTTTGTATGCCCCATCCGAGTCATTCATAATTATTCTATACTAAAATAATCTATGCTAGAAAATTCTTATTTTGTTTGTATGCCCCATCCGAGTCATTTTAAAATACTATTGTATACAATAGTATTTTAGCTTCTATAGAGTTATAAAATGACTCAGATAGGGCATACATACAAGATAAGAATTTTCTAGCATAAATTATTTTAGTATAAAATAATTATGAATGTGCTGTGATAGAAAAGGCAAAACTTTGTAGTATAGGATAATCATTTTAAACTAATGTGGAATTAATTTTTTTTTTTTATCAAAACTCATTTGGATTATGGATCAAATCACATTAAAAGATAAATGGATCTAAAATGGGTATGACTCATATTAGCTTATGTGACATTTATTTTTGGATTTTTATCATAAAATTTAATGCCATGTCATATTTATGATAGGGATTTGAGGCAAAATGACTTTTAAGTGACAATGATAAAGTTTAGTTACTTTTAAGTGACAAAAAATAGTTATATGACTTTAGTGAAATTAAAAGATAGTTCAATGACCATCAGTGAAATTAACCCCTAAAATTACTCAACATCATCAAATTTACATTCTTGTCCAAATTTAAGCAAGTACTCTTGTAATAAAAAAACCAAACGAAATATGAAATTTAGTGGGCGTTTGGACATAAGAATTGTAAAATTTCGAAAAAGTGAAACTTTTGTTTTTCAAATAAAAATGGTATTTGAAAATTAGAGTTGTGTTTAGACATGAATATAATTTTGGATTGTTTTAGAATTTTTGTGAGTGATGTGAAGTAATATTTTTTATTAAAATAGCTTTATGGAGTTTTCAAATTTTTGAAAAATTTTAAAATTTCATCTTCAAGTGAAAATCGAAAGTTTCATAGCCAAACACTGATTTCGAAAAAAAAATAAAATATTTTTGAAAGAAAAGAATATTTTTTTATGGATAAACGGGCCCTTAGACTCGATCCAATTACAATATCAAGTCAAGACCAACAGAAGGGTACATTGTTTATTTGTCGCTCTCTCCGTTTCAATTTAGATGAGGTAGTGTCAAAATGATTTGACACGAAATTTAAGAAAAAAAAGACTTTTGAAACGCGTGGTCTTAAAAGTTTAAGGGGTAAAAATTTTGTGGAGCCATGATATTTGTGTGATTATAAAAACTTCTCATTAACGGTAAAAATGAGTAAAATGAAGAGTTTAAAGTTGAATTATTTCAAATTTAGAAATGTGTCATTTATTTTGAAACAGAGTAAAAAAAAAATAGCTCATTTAATTTGAAACGGAGGGAATATCTTTATCTTGTTAAAAATAATGAAGAATTATGTAGATATTTCTGCAACTCTTGACTTAATCCCCAGGATAGTCCTACTGTTAATAAGCGGCAGTTGAGGAGCTTGGGGTCGTCAGGGTTATTTTGGAAAGACTGGAATTGCTATTTGGGAAAACCTGCAACTATTTTAGCCTAACACACGTGGTATCCGTGGTTTCCACAGTTCTCACGCGTATATCCCACAAAAAAATCGCCGCTGCACTGCTTAGCCTATCTCAGTGTTCATAGCTGGGAAGTAAATCTCCTTTTAATCTATCTTCAGGTCGTCTGCTTTTTCCTTGCTCTTTCTCTTGCACTTCGGTGGATTATTGCGGTAATTATCCTTCTTTCTTATCTTCTGTTTTTCCCCATATTTCATAGGATACTAGGATCTAACATTCTACTGCTGAAACCATTAAAACCAACGCTTAATGGAGTAAAACACATCAAAAAATCAAAAAGTGAAATATTACCTCGCTGACTTTTCTATTCTCTGGTATCAAAATTGACTCTAACTATCAGAAGTCTGTTATTTTTATCGCACCATTCTCTTGGACTTTTGGGTAACTATTTAATTTTGTCATTGAAGCTTGAGTTTTTCCCTCCACTTCATTTTGCGTGCAAGATTTTACTGAAGAAGAATTGGGTAAAAGTCCTTAGGTAAAACTATTGTGTTATAGGTGTTTGATAAATTTCTTTAAGAGATTAATTAATTTTTCATTACTGGTTTGCTCTCCATTAAAATATAAACATATTGTAATTTGGCATGCGACAAAACTGGTGGTTCTCAAATTTTTATTCATATAAGTTGCAAAAACAAGTGAAAGCTTTTTTGGATTAATTGCAATAGACACATAGGAATTTTCGGAAGTTAGAACCTGCCAGTCCAAATGCAAAGTACCATTATTCAACGAATCATGCAAAAGTCCCTCTTCATCGTGATGTGGTCAATTTGATTATGTAATTAGCTAGGTCTTCACTGAAGTTCCAATTTGAGAATTGCGTGATCTTCCTTTGAAAATTCCTTGGTAGATGAAGTAATAGAGAACTACTAAAAAGAAAAATTGAAAATTTCATCTCCTACATAGAGGAAATGTGTAATTCTAGATGATACCTTCTTGGTTACAGTAAGTTGGCATCACTGCTACATCGTGTAATTTGGCACGAAAAAGTTGAATATATGTATAAGTTTGATTTTGGCATGTTAAAAATGCATTGTAACTTTTGTTTTTTGATAAGAGGAAACCCGCAGCCGCTACACTTGGTGCGCACTGGGTAAACTTCCCCTGTGTAATAGCCTGCAAACCACACAGGGAGATAAACCGCACTAGATAAGCCATGCGTGACAGGCTCAACCCAGAAGGCATTGAGGGGGATTCAATCCCAGAAGGTTTTTAAAAATGCATTGTAACTGTGGCGGCATTGATCTTTTCCATTTGTTTTTGTCCCCTAGAAATAGAAAGCCAAATTAGATATAATTGGCAAAACGACAAATCATTAAAGAGATGTAGGAAATTCCATAGTCCTGGATGATATGAATCATGGTGTTCAAACTTCAAATAAAAATATTGTGACAAATTGTTCCATCCAAAGAGCCATGTTGCGTCTTTCATTTAAGTTTAGTATGAACACAAGTTGAAGGGACAAGATGCGTTGGTATTGATCATCAGTGGGTGTAAATTGCAAAATGATGTCCTATTTTGACCAACTAAAATGGATTGATTCAGAAAGAAAATATAATAAACACATTGAAACTAAGATAGTGCAATCGACTTAGGATGTTGAGCCTTGTGGGACGAAAGAATATGAATAATTCTGGAAGTTATCTGTTAAACTCTACTAAAATCTGTAGAGGTTTTAAGCCAAGCTTTAAGTTAAAGTGAATATACTGAAGAGTGTGGAATGAAAATCATAAGAAATTTGAATTTAGATATAAATATTATGTGATTTTTTTATATTATCAATAAAACACTACATAATTTTCTAGAAATGCTTTTTACTTATTCAGACGTTACTTTTTATAAGATAACGTAATTAAAGAGTTTCACGTAAAAACTCGATTATCTTGTATTGTACTCTTATGTTTTTTTTTTTTCATGTCTCTCTTTGTTGCACAACTATTTTCTATAGATATATTCTCTTCTTAATCCCAAGTGTCGATCTGTGCTTATGTGAATTCGGTGAGTGTTTACTTCAGTTAAGGTTTAATTCAATTAGATCTGGTTTACTTTGCTTACAATCTCCTTTGTGGCAATCTGTATATTGGTATGTTAGTTGATAGACTTTCATCTTTTTTAAAATTTTAAGTTTTGTAGGAAGACCGTAATAGATTCAAGTGCACCAGTTCAGGAGAAGGCTCTTGATACTTTCATTTTATGCACACATGCTACCTTCTACTTTCGCCAATTCTGATGATTTACACACATGTGCTAATACTTATTTTACTTTTGCGTTTTCTAGATCAGCTTGTCGTCTCAGATATAAAGACAAAAATATTCTGCTTTCTAAGAGTACATGCAAAAACATTCTGCTTCCTAAGAGCACAAAAACTATCAGGGACCTAGTTCAGCTTGTAGAATTGCAGCAGCAAGAAGAATTACATATTAATTTAGATACTTGCACAATATACTTTTGATTGGTTTAATTTCAATTTGACTTTTGATGCAACTTAAAAGTTAATCAGTTAGTGTTCTTAGTTTTGCAACAGTTTGAATCACATTGTATGATATTTGTTCACATTTGTTTCACGGTCAGTGAAGAGAAGTGCTTTACGTTAAATCAAAAACTAATAAGGTCTTGGGCTCGGGCTCAGCCCGGCCTACCTCCAACTAGTTCTCCTATATAAAAAGCACCGTAGGAACAGCTGAAGCAGCCTACTCTTCGTCGACATGCCAGCTTAAGCCAAAATAGTTTCACTCCTGCTTTTCAACATTATTACATCAACTGCCATCACATAATTTTGTAAATAAAATAAATATTTTAGGTATTTTCAAAGCCTACTTTTGACCTTTCACCGCTACTTTAGCTAAAGTGACAGGTTTTACATCTTGGGCTGACTCATTATAACTACAACCCAACACGTAGATTACTTTTGACAGTTGCAAGATAATTTCATATGGTACAGAAAATTATACACCTACGGATACTCTCCTTTCCAGAACTTTGTTTTTGGATTACCTTAGCTCTGTGAACTTCAGACTTAAGTTGTCGTGTCTACTTGATTGAAAGATCTTTTGGTATTTTGCTTGGTTTTCCTATTGGCTTTCTCTGAAGAACACTGCGTTTGTTTGCTAATCAGGGGTTATGGCGACTGCTGCTTGAGAAGTTCTATTTCGAATTTTCTACTTATTTCAAGGTAATTATTATATAAGATAATTTTCTTTTACGGATGGTGTTTTGTGTGTTACTGTGATTTTTGGCCGAGGTTACCAAATCAAAAAAAAGCTACAGTGATTTCTCATGTAAGAGAAAGTTTTTTTTGTAAATCAGCTAATCCCCTATTAATTCATAGTATTCTGATTCTTTTTTGTTCTTTAAAATTAATAGATCCAATTACAGTAATCATCCATGTTGAGTTAATGGTTTTGATAATTTCTTGACTTCTTGATTTAATTGTAAAACCCCGGAAAAAAATCTAAGTGTTTTAAGACCATTACGAAGATTGACGGGTGCTAATTATATCAATTCGGGTATGAACAAGACTGATAATTTGAATGATATCAGTTGATCATGATAATATATGTATGATGTGCATTAAGAATGGTTTATGGTCTAAGAAGATCCCTAAGGCTAAGTCAAGTTGAAAATTATATGATGGGATAAAGTTTCAAGTGAGTTCGCACAAGACCTAACTTCCAACAAGTATAACTCTCAAGATATAAAGAGTTATATGGGGTACAACCTATCAAATTAAATCCCTTTGAGTCTAGTTTCCAACGCATCAAACCGTTCGTCATTTGGATAAGTATACAGAAAGTTATGTCCATTTTACTGGACCTATGTCATATGCACGCTCAGATGCACGACCGCGCATATTTGAGACTTTCTATCTCAGGTGCGCGGCCACTTGCTTAGGTGCGCGGCCGCGCACGTAGGATCCCATTAAATAACCCCAAGGACGGGTAGAGAGAGGGGCTAAGTCATTTCTTCAATACTAGGGCTTTCTCTCCATCACCCATCCGACCAAGGCTTCCAATACACATCTAAGGTGAGTTTTTAAGTGTGTTTTTATGACGATTCCACTTCTCGATCACTAATTACAACAAGGTTTTGTATTGGATTCCATAGAATTTCTTCAAAATCTCAAGAACACCCCAAAAAGTTGACTTTCAAGATTTGGTCTTCAAGAGGTAATCTTTCACTCTTAAACCTATAATCATGGATTGTTAGTGAATATATGAGCAGGAAATAAGCATTTGCACTTATTGGATGGTGCTTGGAAGCCATAAATGCTTCAATTAGGTTATTGGGTGTTGTAGATATTTTTGTAATGAATTAATTAGTAACAATTGGGTGGATGTAAGTTCATTGATGATTATAACGATGCTAAGAAGGCAGTTATTGGACAAAGGATGTTGTATTATATCTTGTTGGTGGGAATGAGGGATTGTTGGATGAAAAAACACCATTAGTAGAGGTAGTAAAATACTATGTACTCTAGGTGTTTGATAAAATGCCTAAATGACAAAAAATCTTGAAATTTGTTTACTAATATTGGTCCAATTGAATTATGTTGATGTAGATTGAAGTTGTAAGAGTAGTGGGAGGTTTTAATATCACTAAAGAGCTGAATTAAGAAAGCTCGATTTGTGACGATCTTATTTTCAAGGGATTTTCAAGGAAATCATCGAGATTTGAGCCGTCCGGAGGTGGCTTCACTCATGAAGATCATTTAAAGACTCGGTTTAGTTTCGCCGATGTAAGTATCTTGCCTAACCTTGAGTGGGGGAATTACCCCTTAGGCATTGAGTCTTATGTGGAAATTGCGTAATTGAAAACCATGTACGCGAGGTGATGAGTACGTACTTGGTTTATATGTGCAAATTATATCGGTTGAAATTCGTAGACGCCCTTATGTATTAAATTTGAAAATTGTTGGAACTTAGTAAATCCTTGATTTGTCACGCCTTATCCTTGTTTATTGAATTTGTTTTTATATGATGATTTGGTGTGATTTTCATCTTGATGTTTATGTGAATCCCGTATTTTTTTGTTGAGTTGATATTTTCTGTAGATAATTTCATTATGGATTATTCATTTCAAATAATTTATTAAATAATTTTAAAATGAGGCATTAATCTATTTGTCAAAATTTTGGATTAAAGAAGGTGTTCTTTGATGAATTACTTTCCAATTTATGTTGTTGAAATTGGTATTGAGTTATAAAGGCCGTAAATCATACCGAGGCAAAGTGTTAAATTGTGAAATATTATTTAGTTGAGTTGTTCACTCCCGAATATTTTGTTAAGATTTTGTGTGCATATTATGGTCGAGCCATGAGCTTCTTATTGTGGAAAATAATGTAGTGTTGATTTCTATGATAAGTTATAATATTTGAGCACTTGATGTGAAATTTTTGATATGTTGTAATATTTGAGTACTTGATGTGCAATTTGTGATATGTTGTAATATTTGAGCACTTGAGGTGCAACTTGTGATATGTTTTGATATTTGAGCACTTGAGGTGCAATTTGTGACATGTTTTGATATTTGAGCACTTGATGCGCAATCTATAATATGTTTTGATATTTGAGCACTTGATGTGCAATTTATAATATGTTGTGATATTTGAGCACTTGAGGTGCAAGTTGTGTTATGCTATGATAATCAGGCACTTGAGGTGCGAATTGTGATATATTGTGATATTGATACGCATGCGGTGGTATAAGGTCGGATGTTGAAACGCATGCGGTGAGATAAGGGGGGTTTGATACGCGTGGCTAGTAGGGGGAACTACTAGAAGTCATGCAATGTGATAAGGGTAGCTAAAACGCGGGATGCTATTTCGGAAAAAATAATTTTTAAAGAATAATATGTGAAGGCTCCCGCGGTGATATAAGGAAAGATTGTGAATTTATTTATGATTTGGGACTACGAGGCGGTACCTCGAAAGTGCCCTTTTGTTGATATTCCTCTATGGCTGCACTTGCTTTTGGTTATTTTGTTTTTCCGTCATTTGTAAATTCTTGTATTTTTCGTGATGTATTATTTGACTTAATATTAAGTGTTTTTTATTTCTTGATGTATTGTGTTGACTTTGGCTTTTTCGTACGAGACTTTGAGGATTTGTATTTTTGGGTTGTACTCGTTTTTGATGATTGAGTTGTTTTAAATAAAAGAAAATTTCTAGTATGTTTTAATTTAATAAATTTTATATCCAAATCAGTAGCTTATCTGATGCTTTATTTTAATGGAAATGTCATTTTTTTCACTCAAACGATTTCTAAAATAAACTTATCTTTTTGTTGATTTTTTACTTGATTTAAAAAGTTTAACCTTACTTTATTGAAAATAAATTGATCTTGCGGATTTTATAACATTGATATTTTGGTACGTGAGTTGTCCGTGCAGTTATGAAAATAATATGGGCATGAGGTGCCGGGGAAAATATGATGATTTTGTTATTGACACGTGTGTTGTCCGTGTGGTTTTGATAGAAATATGGGCACGAGGTACCGTGAAAAATATGAAAGTGGGCTGAGACCCGTAATTTTTATGATTGTGAAATAAGGTGTCACATGGTGACTTTTACTTGAAAATATATTTATTTGAAAGAAGTATATTCGAAAGATATTTATTCAAAAGAAGTATATTCGAAAGATATTTATCTTCAAGAATAATATATGAATGATCTATATTTGAAGGACTTGATTTATTGATTGTACTTGTGTTCCTTATTCGTCTGAGCAATAATATGATGTTCTTGTTGCCTTGTTATTATATCACTGGTTGAGTTTGTTGTTATCATTGCTAGTTGTTTTTCAGTACCATTATATACTGTTATATTGCACATGTTATTTGACTAGTGAGTGTCTTGACTGTACCTTGTCATTACTCCACCGAGGTTAGTCTTGATGCTTACTAGGTACCGATTGTGGTGTACTTATACATATTTTTGTGCAGGTATTGGAGATACCAGACTCGGGCAGAGTTAGTGTGTTGATCGCAAGAATTCAAGGTAGAGCTGCTTGGTCGTCGCAGTCCCTTGGAGTCTTTCCATTTTATTATACTGCAACTCTTATTCGAACAATATTGTATATTTGATCTTTGAGATCATTGCATGTATTCAGTTAGAGTTCGTGACTCAGTATTACCAGTCTTGGGAGGTCGTTTGTGAATATTTTCGTTGTTGGTTTTGACACATATATTGAATTAAAAAAAAATTGACTTGAATTGTAATTATAATCGGCTTACTTAGTCTTATAGATTAAGTACCATCACGATGTCTGTGATGGAATATGTATTTATATAAGGGAAAAACCTACTGGAAGAAGGAATCTGCTAACCCAACTTGCTCTTTACTCCGGTAGTTTCAAACGATTGAAGAGTACAAGAAAGCTGTGCTATGGAATGACATAAAGAAAGCCAAGGTCTGCACCTTTCATGTGCGGCCCCACTCCCTAAGGGAAAATTAACAAACACATGAATAGAAAGAAACAAGGACCTCTCCCCTACATCTTTTTTATATATTATGTGTCATCTCTCAAAAGAGCGGCAAATTAAGAGAGCATCCACAAAACACAAAGGAAGGAACGAGCACTTAAGCAATGGAACACTCAAGGATATTATATGCGGTCAAAATCGAGTTTGCCCTTCGTATGACTAAGCAGGATTGGAGCATGATGGACCGAGGTTCGTCATTATAATATCGAGTTGTGACGTGAAGTTGGAAGGTCGGGCTTGAGACCCAGAGACTGATATTATCGAGATCGAGTCAAGGTCGAGCTCGAGACCCAGAGACCGATCAATACCGAGATCGAGTCAAGATCGAGCTCGAGACCCCGGTACCGATCAATACCGAGACCGGCCAAGATCGAGACCGAGCCAAGGAACAAAAAGCCGTTATAACAGCATATGGGGAGAGAATCTCGGCAGAAATCACGACTTGAATCAAGGAAAAACTTATTAATTTATCTATCATGGGATCTCCACTATGTATTTTTAATTATATCCAAAGTAGGATTCCCCCACTATATTAAGAGTGGTTATCATCGGTACAAAGGACATTCATTCATTCATTCACACATTTAGATTTTATTGAGATTTACATAACATCTAGCAAATATTATCCTTTTTTGGGCTTTAATATTGATTCATCATGTTCACTTATCAATCACTCTCTATTCAATTTGGGTTTGTATTCATTCTTTTTATAGTTAAAATTCGATATATCTTTACTTATTTTTCTAATTTATACCAAGTTATACCACGTATCCTTAGAACTACATATAAATTCAACTCCATCCGTTTTCGGGTAAACAGTTTGGAGCCCACCGTGGGGCTAAGGATAATAGTGATTATTTGGTATGAATATCTGTAAAACACACTATTTTATGAATGCTCTTGGAAGTGTCTTTGATTTCAGGTTAAAAACGACGAACTCTCAATTAATGGCCCTACCTATCGACAACAAAGTTGACCTTCAAGATGAGAATAACAACCTGACGCCCGGGGATGAAAGGCCACTCGTTGACCCCGTTGGAAATCGGCCCGTAGATCCAATTGACGTTAATTCGCATGTGGCCATTGAGGCAAACCAATGTTCTGACCCCGAAAACAACATTCATGCTGGAACTCGTTCTACAGTTCGAAACACCTAAAATGTTGGAGAAGTGTAGCGATATGATTTTCGAAATGTTGCAAGCTCAACATGTAGCGATAGCTCAGTTGCAGAGCCATACATAGGCACCGAGCAGGCCCGAGCCCGGTCCACCCCGAGAAGTCACTCACAAAACGGGGCCAACTGTAGTAAGATCAAATGAACAAGAATTAGGGACAAATCCCGAAATTATTAGGATGCTCGAGGAACTGACAAAACGAATTGAGTCAGGAGAAAAGAGGATTGAAGCAAATGACAAAAAGGTAGAAACTTATAACTCTAAGGTTGATCAGATCCCCGGGGCACCACCGATATTGAAGAGCTTGGATTCCAAAAAATTCGTACAAAAGCCTTAACCCCCGAGCACAACTCCCAAACCGATCCCCAAGAAGTTCCGCATGTCCGAAATTCCTAAATATAATGGGACGACTGACCCCAACAAACATGTAACCTCTTACACATGTGCCATTAAAGGGAACGATCTAGAAGACGACGAGATCGAATCCGTATTATTAAAGAAGTTCGGGGAAACCCTGTCAAAGGAGGCAATGATATGGTATCATAATTTACCGCCTAACTCTATCGATTCTTTTGCTATGCTTGCAGATTATTTCATAAAAGCACATGACGGAGCCATAAAGGTCGAGACAAGGAAGTCAGACATTTTCAAAGTAAGGCAAAAAGATAACGATATGCTAAGAGAGTTCGTATCTCGTTTCCAAACGGAACAGATGGATCTACCATTGGTCACCGACGATTGGGCCGTTCAAGCTTTCACCCAAGGACTGAACGAACGAAGCTCGATGGCTTCATGACTGTTGAAGCAGAACTTGATCGAGTACCTGGCTGTTACCTGGGCCGATGTATACAATCTATATCAATCGAAGATTAGAGTCGAAGACGACCATTTGGGTTCCGGGTCCGTCATTAAAAGGGATATCGACCGAGAACCAAGGTCGAACAGGGACCAATACCGTCCGTATAACGGAGATCGTAGGGGTAGCGAACCAGAACGTAACCCCTTACGAGGTGAAAGGAGAAGTGATCGAGGCCAAGGGTCTCGGGGGTTGATGAACAAGAATGGGTTCGACAGGCATACCAGACCTAAGAAAGCACCGCGATTATCAGAATATAACTTCAACATTGATGCATCTGCCATCGTGTCGGCCATCAGATGCATCAAAGAAACTAAATGGCCTCGACCTCTGCAGTCTGATCTATCCCAGCGAAATCCCAATCAAATGTGCAAGTATCATGGCACCCATGGCCACAGAACGGAAGATTGCAGGCAGTTGAGAGATGAGGTATACCGGTTATTCAATGAAAGGCACCTTTGAGAGTTTTTAAGTGACCGGGCCAAAAACCATTTCAAAAACAGAGATTTCAATAGACAAAATGAACAAGAAGAGCCATAACACATCATCCACATGATCATCGGAGGGATCGATGTCCCCAGGGGTCGGTGCTTAAACGCACTAAGATGTCGATTATAAGAGAAAAGCGACCTCAAACTCAGGATTACATACCTAAATGAACCTTGTCCTTTAGTGACGAAGACGCGGAAGGAATCATGTAGCCCCATAACGATGCACTGGTAATATCTGTACTTATGAATAAAACTCAAGTTAAGCGTGTGTTAATTGATCCACCTAGTTCGGCCAACATCATTCGGTCAAGGGTCGTAGATCAACTCGGTCTGCAGGACCAGGTCGTGCACGCAACCCTGGTACTAAACGGATTCAATATGGCTTGTGAAACCACTAAGGGCGATATAATTTTGCTAATAAACGTGGTCGGGACCATCCAAGAAATGAAGTTTCACGTGATCGAGGGCGCTATGAGATATAACGCCCTGTTCGGGAGGCCATGGATCCACAACATGAGAGCAGTAACCTCGACCATTCACCAGGTTCTAAAATTCCCAACACTAGAGGGAATCAAAATGATCTACGGGGAGCAACCGACCGCAAAGAAAATGTTTGCCGTCGATGAAGTGATTCCGATATCATCACTATCATCAACAAATGGATTAGATTCAAAGGAGAAACAAGACACCAAATAGCAATCACAAACGTCGGCCTCGACCCAACTAGAGAAGCAGAAGACTGTCGAAGATGATGATTATGGGATCCCTCGATCCTTCATAGTCCCCGATGATTCCGATGCTACCAAATCAACGGTCGAAGAACTGGAGCAAATCACGCTCATCGAAAGTCTTCCTGAGCGAAAGGTATACCTGGGCACAAGGTTAAATCCCGAGCTCAGGAAAAAGCTTATTCAATTTCTTATAGCTAACATGGACTGTTTCGATTGGTCCCATCTTGACATGACAGGGATCCCACCGGAAATAACCACTCATAGACTAAGCTTGGATCTGAAGTTCCATCCGGTAAAGCAAAAAAGAAGGCCCTAGTCCGAGGTCAAACATTCCTTCATCAAGGACGAGGTAACCAAACTTCTTAAAATAGGATCCGTTTGAGAAGTAAAATACCCCGAATGGCTAGCAAATGTGGTGGTAGTCCCTAATAAGGAAAATAAAGTTAGAATGTGTATAGATTATAAAGACCTGAATAAAGCATGCCCTAAGGATTCTTTCCTTTTGTCTAATATCGATTGTATGATCGATACCACGGCCGGCCACGAGACTCTTAGTTTTCTCGATGCCTACTCCGAGTTCAACCAGATACAGATGAACCCGGAGGACCAGGAAAAAACCTCGTTTATCACTAAGTACGGTACCTACTATTATAACGTAATGTCGTTCGGTCTAAATATTACTGGTGCAACTTATCAACGCCTAGTAAACCGAATGTTCGAAAAACAAATAGGAAAATCAATCGAAGTTTATATTGATGACATGTTAGGTAAGTCCCTGCCAGCAGAGGACCATTTAAAGAATTTGCAGGAAACTTTCGATATACTGAGGGAGTACAATATGAAGCTCAACCCCGAAAAATGTGCATTCGGGGGTTGGCTCGGGCAAGTTTCTTGGTTTCATGGTGTCAAATCGGGGAATCGAGATCAACCCCGATAAAATCAAAGCTATCGAAGATATCATGGTAGTGAATAATGTAAAGGCCGTGCAGAGGCTAACGAGACAGATAGCCACCCTAGGACGATTCATTTCGAGATCCTCAAATAGGAGCCACCGATGTTTCTCACTACTTAAGAAGAAGAGCAACTTTGCATGGACTCCGGAATACCAGCAGGTTTTGGAAGAACTAAAGCGGTATTTATCGAGCCCGCAGCTGCTTCATACCCCGAAAGTGGACGAACAACTTTACCTGTACTTAGTTGTCTCAGAGATAGTGGTAAGTGGAGTCCTGGTTCGAGAAGAACGAGG